CAGCGGCGGTAGCTCGGGCGGAGAAGCTGCGCCAGACGGGCTGTGGCCGCCCGAGCCGCCGGCTCCGCTCCCTGCGGCCCTTCCCGCGGGGAAAGGACGAGAGCGGTCAGCGCGGTGAGAGCCCTTTGCCCGGCCGCGCTGCACAGCGCGGGGATGCCAGCCTCGGGGCCGGCCTCGCGTCACTCCAGGGCAGAGGGCTATTGCGGAGCCTTGCAGCCGAGAGAGGGGGAGAGGACATCTTACAGCTCGGCTGGCTCGGGGCGGAAAAAACCCGGTGATTCATATTCACTGCGCTGTCTCCTATAACCCAAGGCAACCGGCGCGCTCCTCTGGTAGGCTTGCAGGTGCATTGCTCCCCAGCCAGGGGAGGGAAAGCGCTGCGGGCGATGCAACAAGTGCCTGGGATGGTAGGCAGCTCTGAGGGAGAACAGGCAGACAGGTGCTCAGCCTAGAGCCAGTTTCACGCTTCAAAACCAACCAACCTCTTCTCGCAGATGCCAGCATGAGCAGCCTCTCTGCGTGGCTTGTTCCAGTTGCCCGATCCAACATGCCTCCCGTTTTCCTGACTGAGATCCATGGTCTGTAATGCTGAAGGCCCCTTCTGGCTGTGGCACAAAGCAAGTCCTGTCGCCAGCTGTGGATCATCATGTCTATCTCATTTATTTCTCTCATCAGTGTTCTGTCCTGAGTAAATAAAGTGTAAAATAAGCTTGTCTTACCCGAGTAACATTTCATAAATCATACTTGCGTGTGTTAAGTAGAAGAAAAAGGGTTTTGTGTTATATAGAAAATTGCACCTGTAACTGGAAATGAAGGAGTTTCTCAGAAAACAAGAAACACTTGAATTATTTAATTTTGGCAAAGCCCTTGTCTTATAAGTGTTCTTGAACAGAATAGATGAATAATCCACAGATGGATGAGTGTAATCCATTCATTAGTATGTGAAACTAAAGTCATACAGGATCCAAATGACATCAAAAGTCCAAGCAATGATCAAAAGTGTATTTGACAGTATACTTCAGGGAGCCAAATAACACAGCAAATGGTTTAACAAATTGAATGACTAGGTTCTTTCATCTCTAGCTTTTGTGATTTTATATTTGAGCCCTTCTGGCTGAAGATGGTCAAAAGCTTAGGGCAATTGTGTATTAAGTGTGTGCCTGAGGAAGTATCAGTATTGGATTAAGATGAATGGATGTAAATTCCCCAGTTGGCTGGTGAGGTATTTTATTTAGTTATGTGAGCATGTGCACAGGTTACTCTGTCTGTTGTAGAGAAAAGGAGAAATTTGGATAGCCTCTTTACAGAGTGAATTGTTCTCTTTGCCACTGTGCATTTCTTTAATGGTATCTGCCTTTTAGGAACTTATGCCAACTAGTCTTACCTGCTTCTTTAGTCTTTCAGAATAAACCTTTTTATTAAGCAACTGGACACTATACTTGTTGCCACTCAGTGCTTACACTCAGTGGCTAACTTACCTTTTCCTTTTAAGTGCATGTCACCCTATGTACTGTGTCATAAAAGAAAAAAAGCTCTGTGTTTTTGTGTGCATGTACACGCACACACAAATATCTGTGACTAATAAGTGTCTTTATTTGCCAGCTATGTAAAATGAGCAGTTAAAAGGCTTTAATTCCTGATATCAAATAGCCAAACTATAGCTTGCTACTGATGGTTTTAAAAGAAAAAAATAAGTAACTTATTTACAAAAGTAATATGTTTCCTAGTCAGAAGTTGATGCCTTAACAAGGCAAAAAGGTGTACATTAGCATAGGCATTATTTGAAAATAAATTGATTAGAAAACCAGCTTTTCACCAGCGCTCCTACTGTAAGTCCTTTTGTTATGGTTATTCAGGGGATTTTAAAGCTGGGAAAGGAATTGTCCTCTGTCTTCTACAAAGTAATTTGGGTTCCAGGTGCTTAACAAATAACTCACATCCTTGCTGAGCCACTGAAGTATTATGGCCAGCAATCTTTATCTCCTGCTAATTATCTCTGAGGAAACATGATAGCTCCTTGTGGGTATGTGGGCAACAGGAAAAGCAGCCAACACACAGAATTGATGACCTAGTGGCTACCCTCATTAAGTCAGGTTGTACCCTGATTTACTTACTCTGAAACCTTAATGGTGTCAGTAAGAATTCACCTGTGTACCATCAGCCTGACTATGAAAGCAGAAAATTTGCACTACACCCTCAAGCAGGTGTAGCACTTCCCAATGAAGTAACTACTGGAGATGAAAAAACAAAAAAAGGAAGTAATGTGTTTGCTGGCACTTGGTCTAGGAAATGATATAGAAGTCTTTTTTAAAATAAGAGTAGGCCCATGTCCAACAAAAGCTGGAGTAAGATCAATAGCATGGGACAACCTACATTTTCACCACTTGCCAAGCCCTCATTTTGGAGCAGAAACGTCACACAGTCTCTACATATGGAAATTAAGGCAATGTAAACTGTAAACTGCTATGTTCTGGACTTCTGATTCATCATGAGCAAAACATCTAGAAATTACAGGACTTTTTTTCCTGGGGAATAGTTTTTCTAAAAATGAGGCTGAAATTGTGACAATTAATCTATTATTTGTGATTTGATGATGCTTTATTCAGGTTGGCCACATGTTTTTTTCTTTGTGGGTTGTAGTTTACTGACACAATCAACTGAAATGGCTCTTCTGGAGCCATTACAATTTGTTGTGTGAGTGCAGCTGAAAACACTTCAGCGTGCCATGTGTCACGCTTTGTCAAGTTAACAGTTGATGTTTCCAAATCAGGATTAGGAACAGTGCTGATGCAGTGCAATGCTGCAATTGCTTGTGCAACATAAGCATTCATGAAAGGGAACAAACTCTGCTGAAGGAAAGCAGCACTACCTATTGCTGTTTGTCAGGTGTCCCAGCAGTTTATTTTCCCTAAAACATCCAGACCCTTTGGTATTTGAGGTTACTTTAAAATACCAAAGAAGAGGAGCATTCTCACCAATCCATTTTAGGAAGCAAATAAACTTCAGAAATTATATTAAACTCTTTGTCAGCAATCAGGAAACTTGGATTAAGTGATGTACCAAAGGAGGTGCAGGACGTGTGTGGTGAAGCCAGCCAGGTAGAGCCAGCTGCATGGCTACATGCATGATACAGCCAGGAGTTCACCTCACCAGGCAGTGCTAAAGTCCTACAGCCCCTTCAGTCTCTCCCTCTGCCCAGCAAATCCAGACTGGGAGAGCAGGGAAACTAAAACTTAACTTTGTCATTAGGATTTTATTCTTGGATTTCTATATATGAGAAGCTTATGTGTGAACACCCCTAGAATTGTGGCATTTGTACTGAAGTGGGTAATGGATAAATGATTAGTGAACCTGTGCATGAACAAAAGTGATACCTTGATCACAGAAAATAGCAATATGAAAAATAGTGGTTTTCACTTACTGTCAAATTTGTAGAACTGTCAAATAAAAATAAAGTATTGATACTGAAGAATGCACATCTGTTTTTTCCAAAATTACTGAAAATAATGAGTTTGAATTCTTCTTTGGGGATAATTGAGAAATGGTCACTGGAAAGTTGTGAAATTCTTTAAAACATCGAACCATTTTTCAAGTCTGGCATCCTTAGGTTAATCATACGGAATTCATACATATGTATCTAAATAAGATTTTTCAGAAAGAATGTAGTCCACACATTGGAATAATGCTGAGACAGAACAAGTTCTGAGCACTCAGATTCTCAAGAGCAGCATTTTCTCCAACGGTGACAAAACCATCAGTGATTCACCCACATAAAATACAGGGCAGTAAAAGCCAGAAGGATTGCTCTGAGAATCAGTGCTCTGAGCCTGCAGGTGCAGCAGGAGGGATAAATTGTGCTGCAAGGCAGATTATGTCCTGTGCCTCCTCACACCATCTGTAGGTTCATCTCTTGCTGAAGGGAAGGTGCCAAAGTACAGCAGGGAGATGAGTGCCCTGAGCCTGCGGGGGAAGGGAGGGGAGAATCACTACAGGCAGATGAATTGTTCTCCAGGCCTCCTGTTATTCCCAAATATCAGACCCACCTCTTTGCTAAGCTGGGGCAGAAAAGTGACAGTCCTATGATGGAGAGGCAAAGCTCTGTCTGGCAGAAGGATTTGGGGAGACAACAGTGATGGGATATACTTAAACACTAGGAAGCACAGCTTTAGGGGTAAAGTGAGGTTGATCTTTTACTGATCTCTTCCCAGGTTAATCCTGCTTATGATTTAAACAGTCATTTAAATGGCTAAAGTTACCTGATTTAGAGAAGCACAGTAATTTTTTGGCTATTATACAAATGGATTTCAAACAGCATCTAAGTAACACAAGGTCATGTAGTCCAAAATGATCCTCTGTTAATTTAGAGTATTACATGAATTTGAAGGATAAGATCAATTCCAACAGAAGCTGGACTTAACCACTAAACCATTTATTTTTTTTTCAAAAAAGTGCATAAACAAACCTTTCACCAGGAATGCTAGATAGTGATCCTAGACTTCTCTTTGGCCTTGAACCACTTCAAATTAATTGGTTTGCAGCCAAAGGAGGTGCATAATATAACATCACAATTTATATTTAGGAAACCTCATTAGAAATGAAAAAGTTATGTAACTCCTCAGAGAAAGCAAAAGAAATATAGGACAAATTATACTCAAACACTGCAGTTAAATTATTTTAACAGCAGGGTAGCTTTTAAAAAAAAACTGTTAGGACAAAATCCTACATAGGATGAGGAAAAAAGCTCTTATATCTTACTGTAATTAGAAACTCATCAGGTTAATGGGACAATTTTTCAAAAGCTACCATTTAAGTTTTTGCACATGGCATTGATCGTGCTTTATTTCAGCTTGCAAATAGAACTTGGCCAGAGGGGGAAAAAAAAGCAATCAGACATTTTCTAATGTACATATAAATTCAGAGCTCTGTATCTTTTGTGTCTGTGCTCTTTCATTCAATTTGTACTTGTGATGGAGTTCTAAGATCTCTCTTTCACTTCAATATTCACTGACTGAAATTGCTCAAAGCACCAAGTGATTTTGGAGTATCTCAGTCTTTAGTGGTGAATCTCACAGGGTTCAAGGGAAGAAAGCCAGCTCGTTAAGATTCTCTCTTTATTTGGGCACTTAAAATCTGAGGCATAAGAAATTAAAGATTACTTTTGATAAATAAAGTCAGCACTTCAAAAAGACATTTGGTATTTAAAGATGTGACAAGAAGAAATTCTGAAAAGGATGGAAAAGGGTGTAGCATTATGGGAAAAGTTTTCCAAAACAGCCAAATGACAGAGGAGCCTAAATCTGTAGGCAATTCTATTATTGACTATGGCAGTTTTGTTGGGATTCCTAAATATGCTTATTTACACAGATATCTAAGTGTCAAAAGACAAAAGGGAGTGGATGTGCAAAACATCTGCTCACTCCAGATGACTAACAAGTGAAAAATAAGAGGGAGCCTGCAAAGCAGCTCATGAATGAGCCAGCCACCTTTACTGAAAGGATGAATTATTCCTTTTATAAAGCAATGTATTATTAGAATTAGGTTCCTAGACTGCAGCAGCTGTCCACTGAAGTATTTTTTATTTTTTTTTTTTAAGAAAGCTTTCATTGGTACATTTTCATGGTACATTGAAAAACAAAACTGCAAACAGAGATGTTACTAGAAAACAAGGTACTGTGCTTATTATTATATTCATATTTTTCAGGATGGATGGAGCAAGGTAATTA